TAACACATAACAATGACCAAATACTTGAATTTTATCTGAATTATTATAATTTTGTATTGTACATAGAAAATAAAACATGAGTTTATGATTAAAAGAATAAATAAAAAAAACTAATAAATCATAGAGTAATATAAAATATTTAAATAGTTCATTATAAAAAACAACTATGTTCGAATGCAAATTAAAATATATATAATCACTAATATCTACTTGGCATAGTCACTGTATCAAAATCAGAACGAATTGAAAAAACTTGTTAAGAAGGATGTGCCGGAACCACATACTCAATCGTATTTCCTTTAAAGAAATATAGGGTATTGTTTCTATAATCCCACCATTCATGTGCACCTTCATTGTAAGTACTAAGATCTACTTTAACCCACCGATTGTTAATGAAAACCCAAATAGCCCACAAACGATCTCCACTTATAGAGAAATATCTCAATTTTCCGTGAAACTTGATCAGTCTCGATGCATACGGTTTGAAGTCATTAATAGTAGAAGGTGCAAATATGAGTATATGTTCTTCTGAATAAATATCAAATCGCAATATGGTATCATTAGATAATAAGAAGTAAACGACACCGCCACTTGTAACTGGATCATGATAAACAGATGATGGTAACTAGATATTTTGAAACTCCCTCCATTGCCATGTAGTAGATGAAAACAATTCTATGTTGTAGTAATTGTAGTCCACTTTTTCCTTAAGGAGGTCACTACAAATAAAATAACATATAAGTAAATAATAAAGTAAATTAATAACATAAAATATACTACGTATAAACTCTTACGATGGCATTGTGTATGACAATCGAATGACCTTGAAATGTAATGAGTTCGAACTGATAACTACCAAAGCAAACTTTACCGCAGTGTATTCAGAGCTCGGAAACGATATCCATTTGGCATTTGTAGTCGTTGGTTTGATAACAAATAAAATCTTTGAAATGTATTCATTTGGATCATAGGATTCAGCAAGAAGGAGTCCGCACAAGGATGATGCTAAAATCGTACAAGTATGTGGTAGCCAATCAATGTCAAGATTTAGTAAGTGGTACCGAACCAGTAATATCTTCAACTATAATGGTGATTTTCAAACTGAAAGCATTGATGTAAACAGATTTAGTAATATAAATTTATATAATTTAACATAACAATATAAAAATATTTATAAAATAAGTTTCAAAACCTGGGAACAACAGAAATGACTTTGTTCATGCAGCTTGAAGTGTTACAATAAAAAACTTCTTTATCTTGAAACTGATCACCATGGATTAAAATTTGTTTTACGGCTTTCTGTTGACATCTAGTACAAGTAAAACAGTATCATTCCCCTTCAGCACATACTTGCTTAATCGTACCGAAACCAATTAAAATTTTTTCCTAAAAAATGTTAATGGAAGTTTAATTTTTAGTATAAAATAATAATAATCAAGGATTAAGATATAAATAATACAAAACCAATTTCACATAATTTATATATTGTAAATGAAAGTGATGTATATAAACCTGATGTACTTGTTGAAGATCAGCAATACTATGGAAATCAAAGTTATGAAGGAAATCTTCATTTTCAGAGTAGATGATCAAGGACGAAGGGTTGCTACAATTAGCAATTGTGGTTTGAGCAATTTATCTGTTTGTGGACAAAATAATGATTGTTTGAAGTTAAATGTTTATTAAGTATAATGCTTAAACGGGACTTTTATAAAAAAAATATATCAAACTTTCTGCAATCATGGGTTTATGATTAAAGGTACAAAGCAAATAAATGCAAATTTTTTGTTATAAAATGTGTAGTAAAAATAAATGTACAGTACATGGGCAATTTGGGAATGTTGGTATATATATTTATTTTGTCGTATTTTTACTATTATAAAAGAACAAAATATTTATGAAGGTTTTATACTAAATTTACATAATAAAAAAAGAAAAAAAAAGATAAAAATATTTATTATGAATTATGGCATACTGGTATGAAATAGCAATGTCTTTTTACTTTTAAACCATTAATAACAACATAGCTAAATATGCAATTTTTGGGATATCACGGTTATCAGATTTGTGAATGAAATTTTGAAATTTGGAAAAAAATAGAGTCAAACTTAACTTTTTAAAATACCATTGGTACCAACTAAAATGTCTCATTTTTTTCATGTGTCCAAGTAAAAACCATGTGGATTATTAGCTAATAATTTAACATTTTATAATCTTAGTATGCTACATGGTCAAAATGTAAAAAAATGACCATTCTACCCCTACTCATACAGAAACAACAATTACAAACACACAGACGACAGTTAAGTCATAAACAGAAAGCTATTTGCAATTTTTAATTTAGGTAGAAAATAACAACCAACTTGGGTCAAAGTAATCATTATATCAATATATTGCAATTTTGAAGTCTTCTGAATGAATTAACATGTAATTTGGATGAAAATTCAATGAGAGGTTCATCCCTATTCGTGGTTGATTTAAAAGACTTCAAAAGTTGTATTTTAGATTGTAATAACAATCGACACAAAGAGATATCGACACGGAAACATAAAATCATAAGTTAAACATAGAATGATAATTTAAAATATATATATATATATATATATATATATATATATATATATATATATATAGATTAAAAAGACTTAACATTATACATGAAATATAAATTTATTTCATAAACTCGGTCGTTAATCAAGATAAACAAATCAATTAAAAAACAAACAACATATATAAACCTTTATATTTAATATGATATTAATGAATTAACATTAAAAATGAAAATATTTTATGTTTCATACGCATACACTATTAGCCCTAGATATTTTAGGAACCTTCACATATCTTTGTTTTTTATCACTTAAAACTTACAAGCTACTGATTCAAGAATGCAGACTATAAAGTGAAGTCGCTGAAGACGGGATGTTCAAAAGAAAATAAAGGCGACGTACCTGATCTTAAATATGCTTAGAAAATGAACAAATCGAATGTAGTAGAAAAGGAAAACCAAAGATGCTTAAAGAGTTTTGGAACCAGCGAGGAATTTGATCTAAGGGTGTAAAACATACAATCAAGAACCCTTTTTATGCAATAATACATAAAATTTGAAGTAATAACATAAAAATCTGACAATCTAAATAATAAAGTTTGTAGAAACATTACACAATTAATAATAATAAGATATCGACATACTTAATTGATAATTAAAATTAATAAAGCTATATAAAAATAATATTGAGTGAAGGGATCGGGAACTAAAATCACCAAATTTTTAATAATTGTAAATTTCTCAGATTGATAAAAAAAAGAGAGGAATAACAAGAGATTTCATTGCATAGACTAAAGTTGATTATTAAAATTATTTGAATAGAAATAAAACAAAAGAACATAAATCGATTTTAATCCATATTTTTCTGCCACATATTTGAAGCAATTTGAATAACATAAGAATTTGACAATCTAAAAAATAAAGTTTGTAGAAACAGTATCTGCTGGTCAATTAAAATCATGTCTAGGCTCCCGACCATATTAGGATTGTTTTTGTAGGTCTGCTTCCAAAGCAAGACGATTTTAACACGTATGTTCAAAGACTCTTTGGATGCATCGATTTCAGCAACCTTATCAAACACGACCTGATCTGCATTGTTAGTTGCCATGGAATACTATTATCTGCAATGAAGGAGATAATTAGTTAGAGAGAAATTTGATTTGGAATGAAAAATCATAGACACTATATTTATAGGGAAATATAAATTTGGTTAATGCTGATATGACATAAAGATTTTGGAATGTAATATCATTTCCATACTTAAAATATGTATTATGTATGGTATGATATCGAAAATAATATCAATATAACATGTCAAATACAATTACAAAATAGATAAAATCATACCTAATTTAAGATAATAATTACCATATTAAAAACTGTAAATTTGAAAAGTTTGTAGAATAAGAAAAAAAATATAATAAATATATAATTTTTCAATAAATATGCAATATAATTACAAAAATAGATTGCAATGACGATGGACATATAGCTAAAATCATACCTAATTTAAGATATCGAAAAGTTTGTTTTTTCCTCAAGCCACAGATAAGATTCATATTAAATTTAATATATCACAGGTATGTTACGACACGTTTTTAAAGAACATAAATTTTATTAAATGAATTATCTTACTCAACGCTAGTGATGCTATCATTCTTTTTCTTGGTTATTTATTCAACATTATTTTGACAAAACATATGGCTAGTGATGCTATCATTCTTTTCTTGGTTATTTATTCAACGATACCATCTCGTCAGTTTAACCCAAGAATGGTTGGCTTCCAGATAACAAGAAGTACTAACATATAACAAGAAGTACTAACATGTTATACATTTGAATCGATTAACCAAATGTTTATATCAAAAACGTTTTCTCTGTAAAAAGGTAGCTTACCGGTTGTGAGTCACAACTAAGATAAGCCGAAATCCATAACATTAAGGATAGATATTTTGACTTTTGCCGCATACCGAAAGTTTTGCAAAAAAAAAATTGTAGGTTGAAGTTAAAATATATCTAAAACCAACATTGATGGTTTCAAAGAGATTAAATGGCAGAAATACTAAAGAAGGGATACCTTCTGCTTTAGATCACGATGGACAACTTTTTCTAGATGAGAATAGGAAGTTGCCCTCGGTATTTTAATAACAATGTCTTTGGCATCATGTTTTGTAATTCCGCCAAGAAGTATGAGCAGAAATAGAGAGTTTTACTATTTTAAAAATTAGTTGGTAAATTGAATTATCAATTGCAATGAATTGTTAGTACAATCAACCAAGACATATTTTGGTGGTATAAGTACTATGGTCTATAACCTTCTTGCTTTCTTGTGTTAGTATTCATAACAGCTTCAACCACAGTCTATATATAACCTCTATATCGACAACTGCATGTTTTCAAATGACCATATCCGGCAGTATTTACATGTATCAGAATATTAAATCTCTCAACTTTAGATCGAAAACCTTCGTCCAAAGAAATATGTTCCATATTCAACTTCAACCTGCATAAAAAGTGCATACAAACAGATGGTAATTAAATTGAAAAAAAAAACTTTGGATTTTTTAGATAAGGATACATTGGGATATGGAATATGACGCATAATTAAGGGGTGATACTGATAATAATTAAATAATTATTAAATGCTTACCCTGAACAAGTAGTTTTCAGGGGATAATGACAGCTTTTGTCCCTTCCCAAAAAACATATCAACAGATGGGAAAATTTTCGATAGCTGTGAAACATCACTGAAAATAAAAAGATTTATCATTTTCATATTATTATTATTATTATTATTATTATTATTATTATTATTATTATTATTATTTACTTTTATACAATGATTAATGTTAAATAGATAATAAACATTACCTTCCAGCACCCGAGAAGCAAATGTCATTATAACTTGGATTAGGTCCTTTGATCATATGAACACCTTCAAGTTTTTTCAAGATCTACATATAATATAGAGATAATCAATAATTAAATACTACCCATTTAATAAAATGTTGCATCTAAATGACCATTTTATCTACATGATTTCTTAAAGATTTTGCAGACCATTCTGAGTTTTTTTTATCCATATTACCTGAAGAGTTTTTCCAAGGCCCATTTTATCAGCCAGGAGAACACGCCCTCCATGCTGCAATATAAACCCGCAATAAAAAGATCATGAATTATTTAGATGATGAGTATCTGACCAAATAACACACAAATTAGTCAATAATATTACATACCTGACACCGTCTCGCTGAAATGGCAATAACTTTGATTTTATGCTATCAGGCATCGAGTAATAGCGATCTGACGAATAGCATAAAAGAAAACATTAACAACACGAAAAGCATGAAAAACATAAAATAGAATACACTGGTTACAGAACAAGAAAATGGCAATAGATTTGATTCAACTCTATCAGGCACTAAGCAGTTATCGCAGTCAAAAATGAAATATCGGTGAAGGGCCGAGATTTGATATACCGGTTATCATGGTAGGATATCAGTTTTATATAAACATAAATTCTAAGTCAAGTAATCAGTAGCATCGGGCTTAAAATTGAATCATCAAACTCAAAATCATGGATAATTGCAAAACTCAACTAAGCTAGTAAGCTAATCAAGTAAAAAAATAGCATTGTATTGTTGTACCCTTCTAGCAATCAAGTAAACAACCGGAAATGAAACTTAAAAACTATTAGATGTTAACACCTATTGGTTGATATGTTATATCTTTTTTGTAAAAGGTAGATAAAATGTATATAATAAAAAGAAAGCAGATTTCAAAACTATTGCTTTTGAAAGAATAACAATAATAATGATGACAACACCTTCATATGTTCCAACTCCTGCCCTTTTCCTCAATAAGCCCTACTTGACTAACAATCATATCATCTGATATATAAAACATTAAAACAAACATTTCTACCTTGAAGATCTGGAACAGCTGAGGCAGCAACAATAGCACGGTGCAACAATGGATATAGAGTTTCCACCTGTAAAATCACAACTACGTTCCACCATTGATGAGTCTTTAAGCAAAGAAAGAGGATTTTCAATTTCATCAACTTCGTTCAAATCCTTGATCCACTCAGGTTTGAACTCAGATTCTTCCCAGACTAATATTGAGTTCATTACAAATCCAGACCATTCCAGTTTTTGGGGCAATACGATTGCCATATCACCAATGTAATTTGCACTCTTTTGTTCATATGCATAAAAATTAAACGTGTGCCACCCGATTGAATGATCAGATGAGTTGCAAGCGGGACCTTGAGTTGCCAATGGTGATTTCTTGTTGTTTGGTTCGTTTAAATTCTTTTGAACCTCAAAAGGGTCTTCGTTAGAATGACTGGAGTGAAGAAGAATCCCTACTGAAACAGTACCAATCCATTCCACTTTTTGGATCTCATCAAAGAGTTCTAAACTATGCATGTTGCTATCATCGGCAAACATAACAATTCCATCAAGTTTCTCTTCTCTCACAACTCTGGATCATTAAGAATTACATCTATTAAAGTTTGATCTTGGATCTGAATTCAAATAGGATATGTTATGATTACCTTAAAGCTTGCAATCGCATCTCGGATTCCAACTTGTGACGAGCGTTCCAGAAAATGGGCATCTTCTTCTTGAACCCAATATGCTTGATTTGAAGTTTCAATTTTGCCAGCAACGCTGCCGTTTCATTGGTGGTACCAACAGCTTCCACCACGATCCATACGACTTCGTAGGGAAAATTCATCAAAATTGTGCATCAATCCGGTTAGATGTAAAGCTTGAAAAGTTCGAACGTAAGTTGGAGTGACAAAAATTAAAGGTCTAGGGTTTTTAATCCCGTACTGAACCTTCTGTTCCAGCTGAACAATTTCCATGATTCTGTGAGCTTTCATTACCTCCTTCGGGTTGGGGTGGAGATTAGAAGATGTGTCATCTTGGCCGATTGAAGAAGAAGCGAATGGATTCTCTGTTTCTTTAGGTTAGATCGGAAGAAGCGAGAGAGTAAATGACGAACGGAAGGCAACATTAGGCAACGGGTTTTTGGGTATAACAATGATGTCAGCAAATAATCCAACGGTCTAGAATATAGGATTGAAATGCAATGAATGGCCCTGATTTCTTAAATGGAGAATTTAAGGTTCTCTTTTAATAATATTTAGAGATTAAACATTTAAAAACCTAAATAATTAAACTCTTATTTTCTAAAAATATGGCCAACTCCTTAAGATTTCTCATATCTACTTAGAGAGATTTCTCATATATATACTTAGCGCACCTGTAGTTTAAGTCTAAACAAAACCTAGTACCTAGGTCACTTAAAGTAATTCTCTGATACCAAATTAAAACACCCCCGGTAGGGTAGTTTTAGAAGTCATTATAAAATCATTGATTTTATATTAAAAAGATTATCTCATTTTTTGCAGAAAATACGTTTTGAGTATGCTTTAAAATACTTTAAAAGATTTATATATGGAATTAGGACACAATGTACCAAAATATAGAGTTTTGGTTAGAAAAGCGAGGTGGTAATATATATATATATATATATATATATATATATTATATATATATATTATATATATATATATAGAGAGAGAGAGAGAGAGAGAGAGGTTCAATAGAAAAACTATAATTAACAAAGAACCAATCATTAGCGTGAGAAATCCAAATGACTAACGACCGAAGGAAATGTTGTATATTTATTATTTGGACGTGCATGCACCAGATCATAAAAAAAAGTTGAAATTCATTTTTTTAGGTTATATTTTTTATCGAAAAAAAAAACAAATATATCAAAATTCATAATTTTTCGTAGGGGTGTTCGTTTGGATGGATCGGTTTGATCCGATCCGATCAAGTAATCCAAATAGATTTCGGTTTTCAAAAAATGAATCTGAATAGTCCAAACTAAATTCAAATTCAATCCGATCCAACCAAATTACAATTCGTTGGATTGGTTTTATAATTCGCTTTTAAGAGGCAATATATTTTAAAAAATATATAACTTAAATCTTAGTCAACTCTATAAAAATAACCAATTTTTTTTAGGTATGAATTATAATTTATGAACAACTATTAAGAAAAACTGATTATAGTTTAATATTCCATTGACAAAAAACATTTGATAAAAAATACATATTAAGGTATTATATTGGATGAAAGTTTATAATAATTAAAAAAATAATTTAGTAAATTTATAAATAATTAAGGATATATATATATATATATATATATATCTATATATATATATATATCTATATATATATATATTAAAAACAACAATAATAAGTTGTTATTCAGGTTTTTTGGACTATTCGGTTCTTATTTTATAAATCAAAACCAATCCGAATCCAAAATAATAATTCGGTTTAGCTTAAAATCAATCCAAAAATCCGAATATCTGAACTAAATAGTCCAAAATTATCCGATTAGACAATTTGGTTTTAACCAAATAGTGAATAACCCTAATTTTTCATCCTCTTTAATTAGATACTCTTTAAAAAGAAATTCGTAATGTCCGTGTTTCTAGGCTAGGCATTAATATCGATGTAATAGTCTAGGTTAACCTTTGTAACTCGTTTTGAAATAATAAGAATGTATTATTTGAGTATTATGTGTTTATTGCTTAATTGTGTGATTTAAATGAATTAAGGATAAAAATATGCGATAAAATAAAATATTAGATAAGCCCGATATCTATACATGAAGAGGTAGTGGTCATTATGAGGATTCTGAAATTATAAAGAATGCCGAAATCCGAGTTATAACGAAGAAGTTATGACCTGTCGAAGTTTCGCGACAGAACCGGTACGACACTGTGTGACGTAAATAGTGAATTTATGGTAGAGCAATATTTAGCCTTAGTGATCTAAACGAAAGTCGTAGAATACGCTAAACCGAGAGCGTGCATAAAACGAACGTCTAAATCTGACTTCGTATGAGGAAGTTATGATTTTTCGAAGTTTCAACTTAGCAGTATGCAACCCAAAGTTCGAATATGAGATCAAGTGATTTCTAGCCGAAACAATATAAACAAGAATCGAAGATCTATTCGATAGTAGTGCAATGGAAGAAAGACAGACGAAAACGGACGTGAGATGAAGGAGTTGTGAATTTCTAACGGAGTTTTCCTGTCCCGGACTACTAAAAATAATATAAAAAAAATAAAGTCAAAATTTGCCGACGGAGTCTAAACGAGAGTTGTAGAGGATAATCTCACCTACGCGTGCATATAAAGAACAACGAAAACGGAGCTTGTATGCGAAAGATATGAATTTCTGAAGTTCGGGGCACGAACCCCGACACTGTGTCAGAGTTCACGACGTGAATATAGGGTTCACGACGTGAACTCAGTAATGACGTCTCCTGGAGCCTGACAGACCCAAGTTGCGATGACGCACCTGATGACGACTGAACTCACGACGTGAATATTTGAGATTCACGACGTGAATCCAGAAAAATGGCCCTATAAATAGAAACCGAAGGGCAGCCGACCATGGTTGCTAATTCCTTCACTCTCTCACTCCCGATACCCTCTCTAGCCCTCTTGAAGCACCCCCGAAGCCCCGATATCATCCCGAAACCCGAAGCAAGTTCCGACGCTCCGAAGATCCCGAGAAGAAAAGAGTTTTCGAGTCGAAGCTCTACCCGCGGGAACCCCGGTGGATGAAGATATCCCGGATTCATCGAAGAATTACTACTTGAAGAGCCGTAGTGTTGTCCGACAATCGTCTTAACAAGTGAGTGCATAGTCTCTGTGATAAACACGATTTTAATACAAGTATTGTTTGAATGTATTAAGTATACGTTTTGAGAGAGTGTATAATCCCTTTCTTCTAACACATAGGTATGAAGTATCTTCTATAGAATACGTGCTATGTGTATATATATTATCTGTGTATTTGGAGTGAGTATTGAATGAATATTTTATACAGGTTTTAAGCTGTATATGAATGTATAAGTATATTGTTATCTACTAAAATGTTGGGTAATACATGGGTAGATAGTTGACGTGTGATAAAATGATGAGAGGCCTCGATGTTGTTGTTGATTCAGTCATTTAGCGGAGTTTAGATGACGACCACGGACTCTTCTAGACAGTCTAGCGGAACGCTGGCAGGCTCGCCACCTGTAGGTGTTATTGAACTTGGGTGTTCAATTGATGTACTCTATCCCCCACATGGTTGCCTTGTTTGACATATATTGCTGAGGAAACCCCGAAGCATGTGTTGTCGCCACGATGAAAATCCTTAGGTTAGGTCCCTTGTGATAGTTGTTTTAGGGACGTAAAGTGAGGATAACGGGAATGAGTAATTAGGTTATTGTTGGTTGATGAAATTAATATAATTATTTATTGTGGGTTGAAAACCCTATATGCTCACCAGGCTCCCAAGTCTGACCCACTCAGTTTTCTTTGTATTACAGGTAGTGGCGCGAGAGCATAAGTTGGACGATTTATCAAGATATTTTGATTATAGGCCTGTAGTTTATATATCTGTTGTAAGGCTTATAATATGCCGTTTATGCTTTTGGTCTATATCGGAACATGACATCCCGAGTTTTGTTATATAATGAAAATACATTTCTTTAATAAATGCTTTGGTAAATCTTATTTTATCATATTTCGTTTTGGGAACAAATTCCGCAACTCTTTTAATCAAAGGATTACTCTGAAGTTATTTTAAAAGCATAAATTAAACCGGTCTTTTCTGGCCGTGAATTTGGGGATGTCACAGTTGGTATCAGAGCATTAGTTTAAGCGAACTAGGAATTTGTAGGATTTCTAGACTTAAACTTAGGATGCTAAGTAAAGATTGTGAGATGAGTGTATGTTGTATTTTAGACACGAGCACTAGTATATTTTAGGAAAGATGCCTAAAATGCTTTTATGTGCTAATTGTTATATGTTTGCCATATATGATGTTATTTGTTCGGATCTACGGTTTGTTGCCAACCGGATCTGGAAACCTTATGTGTTTAGAATTCTAAGCGTAGGATTACGGTATTAGAACTAGCATGTAAACGTTTCAGAGTGATGTGGATAATTTAAATATCTATCGTAAATAAGGATCTAAATTCACCTTATTCGGTGTATAGATCAAGAATGGAAAGAACTAGAAGTGGAGTTGGAAACGTGAACGAAAACAGGAATCAACCACCTGTAATTGAGCAAGTACCTGTTGTAGCAGCAACACCTGAGCCAATAACAATGGCTGGTGTACAAGCGATGATTCAAACAATGTTGGATCGTCAAATGGAAGAAACTAGACGTCTGCTTCAGCAGAATCATGAAGAACTTACAATGCCAATCGTACAGCCCGAATTGAGTGAAGGGCATTCGGATGAAGGAAACTTCAGTGGGGTTGTTGGTCAAGCCAACCACCAATAATTAGACAAAACAACCAAGAGGGAGGAAATGGTGGACTTGGATTCAAGTACAAAGATTTTTTTACTTGAAAACCATCGAACTTCACTGGAAAGGAAGATCCGATCGGAGTTATGGATTGGATCTCGGAGATGGAGCTAGCCTTCATGACGTGTGGTTGCAGAGGCAAGTTACAGACCACATTCGCAGTACGTCAGTTCAGAGGCGGCGCTGTTCGAAGTGGAACACTCTGGGGAAGACCCTAAGCCCTAATGAGCCACTGCAACTGACTTGGGCAGAGTTCTTGGTGCAATTCAAGCGCAAGTTCTGTTCGGCCCAAAATCTACTGGAGTTGGAGAACAAATTTCTGACATTGAAGA